TTAAATTTGGAGATACATGTTTCTTAGTATAATGGATTTGAATTGTACAAAATTACTATTTTGTTGTTCAACTAGAAAAATGGTAAAAGGAAGGCATTAGTAATTATAATAAGAGTAATGCAAAATTTAAGATATTGTGAAACGCCTATTATTATTTAAAGAAATAGTTTTCTTTGATTATAAGATATTTAAAAGGGTTATGATAGAATAATGTGTCTAGAAAATTAGTGGGAATTAAATAGTTTATTACTCTCAATCATTCAATGTATAATGATAAGATTATGGATATGAGAAAGCTGCTTGGTTGCAATGGAGAAACCTCTAGATACATGTGTTACGAATTATATAGAAAATAATTCTTATAAAAAAATGCAATTACCTTTATTAAAGTTGATAAAGTCTTGTCACTCTTGTATTTTTGTGTTTGATTAAAGTTTAAGGATCATGTTATTTTGAGTAATGGATAATGGAGGATTGTTTCTATTAGAATATTTTATATTTGATGGTGTTAGTTATCTACATAGATAGCTTGTTGAAAGAATTTGGTGGAAAGGATATATCCAAGGTAATTGTTGATCTATCTTATAAAGTAAGAGTGACATAAAGGTGAGACTATGAATAATGATTATAGTAATGCATTATTGTGATTATGTTAATTAATTTACTGATCAAGGGATTATAATTTTGTTAGTTATCTATGAGAATTATTTTATATATTCTTGATAAGTGGGAGAAATTGATTTCTCTGTTAATAATAAGTTTTATTTTACTCATTGTCTCACTTATTATTTTATAATAATACACGTGCATTGTACTGATGATTTTTATGAGTTCATACAGATATTGATCTTGAGATCTTGAGATATAAAGTATAAAGGCTTCTTTGGAAGTGTACAAACTTCTTTTGAAGTGTAAAGATTTTTCTAGAAAAGTGAGGGAAATTATCTTTTGGGTTTCTATGAAACCATAATAAAGTTTAAAGGCTTCCTTGAGGAAGTGCAAAAGGGATTACATCCTGATAAAAGGATTTCTTTGAAACCATAAAAGAGGACCATTGTGGTTTTGATATGTTATACATTGTATGAAGCATGTTGTGTCAAACCACACTACACTTTATCACACTACACTTTATCACACCTATTGGAATTAATGTTGGTGGAGATATTTGATACTTGTGATTGTGAAGGGTCTTGTGTTATTAGAGACATAATGACTACACAGTTCGGTATTGGTATTTTCATTAAACGAAATTCTGTATTGAGATTTTGATTTATATTTATGGCCACTAAAGTTGTGTTTGACCCAAAAGTCATTTTGTTAAAAAAATATTTTTTTTTTTTAAATTTTAAAACCAATTAGTGTTGCCTAAGTGGGAGAATGTTGGAAATTTTTATGTGTGCTGCCACTAATTGTATTTGGTTTTCAAAAATTGGGTCAAATGAAAAAAATTGGTAAAGCCCAATAAAATAATGTGATCCAAGTGGGTCTAAATTTTACCTCAGTTTTATATGGTGTGATATAAATAGGTGTAGGGCCTGAAAGTAAAGGTGGGCTACTTGATGAGGGTGCCCAAAAGATTATTATAATGGGTTAGGTCCCCTCTTCCATTCAGAGAACCCTACCTCTATAAATAGTAGAGTTAGGGAGTGGCATGACCCATTGGTTGTCACTATACAGAAGTTGATTAGGGAGAGGAAGACCTGAATCCCAATACTAACTATATTTGTTTTGTAGGTTTTGTCATGAGATCCCTAATTATGATGATTCTTGAAGATTCTTAAAAATTCATAGGTAATATATTGATTATGGAGATTTAAGGTACGCAAGTTATTTATTTTATTAAATCTTAGTATCCTAAATTCTACGTATATCGATCCCTAAAAATTCCAACATGTGGTATCAAAGTAGTCATACGAAGGTTTAGGATTCAAGGTTAGGTTTAATTTACACTATGTTATTGTTTTGATCAATCAAAAACTGAAATGTTTTGACAATACAGTGTTGAGGAGAAATTGATTATAAGTTTCAAACTATTATCTAATAAATTGTTGCTTGGCTTGACTATCAACATAAGCTAATTAAATCAAGTTTAGATAATCTACTTTAATGGACAACTGAATTTATTAGAAGTCTTTGAGCACATTTAAATTGCCGTCAGGGTGTGGGTTCAAGACGAGAGGGATTGATGCGCTGTAGAAGCAGAATGATGCGTTGTAGAAGGAGAAGGAAGAGATGAAGAAGGACCTGGATGAGGTGGTGCCAGCAGTTACGAGTTTACAAGACGAGAGGGATTCGCTGAAGACAATTCTTTCATTTGAAGAGTGAAAGAGGAAAATATGCGAAGAGAAGATCGAAGCTTAGGAGAAGGAAATAAAGAAAATGAAAGAATCTCAAGTCGAACTCAAGAAGAATGTAAAGCTGCTGGTACATAATGCAATGGAGGAGCACATTGTAGAGTTTCTCAACTCCAGTACTTTTGACAACATTGTCAATCTGTATCGTCTACCGACTGCAATCTTAGCATTCACGGACTGCAAGAAGAAGGTGAAAGCTCAATATCCTGAAGTGGATGTAACGAGAATCACCTTTGAAGAGCAAGAGAAAGGAGTGGAAGAGAATGGTGAAAACATGTCAGTTGACTTCTAACCTCAGATTAAGCTAGGGCAAGATCGTGACAAAGAGGGTCGCACCATTTTCCCTCCAAACTTCGACTTTGAGTTCGTCATAATGGAGGAAGGGAATGCAGAGGCAAAAGATGTAGAGGTGGAGGAGAGCCAAGCACCTCATCCAGTGGAGATCCATCCAGTTCCTTCGGAGGAAGACCGACCAGCTCCCCCAACAGAAGATCAACCACCTCCTCTAGCAGAGTAGCGAGGCTTTATTTCTTTGGTTTTTATTTGATTGTAAAGTTTGAACAATTTGTTTGTTTTAATTCGAACAGTTATGTAATGACTTCATCTGTTAATTTAATTGAGTGCGGAGGATTTATTTTAACTATTTGTTGTGTTGGTATTAAGTAAAAGCTGAAATGAGTGAAAACACTTCAAATTTGAAGTGAAATTTATTAATAGAATCAACATTAAAGGAGACGAATCCCATATAGAGAAGTTAAGGATCTCAGATAAAAATTCCAAAGAGCTAATTTGGAAAGAGATTGACTTCGGACAAAAATATCAAAGAACTTCATAATAAGACATTGACCTTGGATAGAAGAATCAACAATTATAAACTAAGATAAAGTTCAACTTAGGAATTGAATTAAGGGTAAAACTTTTTCAAATTGGTCACATTCCAGACTCTGGGAACTCTTTTTCCTTCAGTGTTTTGAAGAATATATGCACCAGTGTGCAACACCTCAGCTATTGTATAAGGGCTTTTCCAATTTAGGGCTAATTTGCCAAAACGAATTTTAAATCCCATTAGGCTTACTTTTCTTAGAACAAGGTCGCCAACTCTAAATGTTCGACGACGAACTCGTTTGTTGTAGAAATTGGCTAATTTTTGCTTGTATGCCAAAGTTCGAAGTCATGCTTCCTCTCTGACTTCATCAAGCAGATCAAGGTTCTCCCGAAACAATTATCCATTTCGTCCTTCATTGAAATGGGTGACCTTGAGGCTGAGGACTCCTGTTTCAATAAGAATGACTGCTTTGGTAGCAAAGGTCAGATGGTAGGGTGTTTCACTTATTTCATTAAGTTATTGTTTTAGAGTGTGCTTTATGTATTGTGCATATTTGACTTAGGATGAAGCAACAAAAGAAAAGGTAAAATGGTAAGAAAGTAAATTAAGATGGGAATAGTACCTGTGGCAGATCGACTCGTGGTTCTACATGCCCAAAGCACGTTGTTGAGCTCGTCTGCCCATCTAGCCTTGTGTTGCTCCAACCTCGGTTTGATTCCTTCCAAAATAGCTTTATTAACAGATTCCACCATACCATTGGACTCTGGGTGGTATACTAAAGTAAACTGCAATTTGATTCCGTAACTAGAGTAGAAGTCTCTAAATGTTGAGCAATTGAACTGAGTTCCATTATCAGCCACAATTTGATTTGGAATCCCATATCTACAGATGATTGAACTAAAAACAAAGTCTTCAACATTTCTGGAGGTAAGGCTGGATAATGGCCGAGCTTCGACCCATTTCGTGAAGTAATCAACCCCGACTATTAGATGAGTTACTCCTCCAACTCCTTTCACAAATGGACATAAGAGATCAAGGCCCTACTGAGCAAATGGCCATGGTGCCACTAGGTTTGTGAGTTCTTTAGCTGGTTGATGAGTTAAATATGCAAAAAATTAGCACTTTGGGCACCTCTGCACAAAATCAGTGGCGTCTTTGTGCATGTTCGACCAGTAGTCTCCTTGTTTAAGGACTTTATAAGCCAGAGTTCGAGCACCAACATGACTTCCACACACACCTTCATGGACCTCTCGGAGTGCATATTCGGCTTCATAAGGACTTAAACACCAAAGAAGAGGGAGTAAGAAAAATCTCTTATATAGAATTCCATCTATTAAAGCATACCGAGATACTTTCTTTCTTAGTCTCGTTTCTTCTTGCTTATCATCAGGGACTGACCCATCATGTAGGAAAGACACAATCGGGTTTGTCCAACTTGGTGTGCTCGGATCCGTGCTGATTTGCATGACCCTCGACTTTTGGAAGCTAGGCTCATCCAGAACCTCAACAAAATTGATCTCAAACCTCGAGAACCATCAAAGGCAAACTTTGAAAGTGAATCTACTTGTTCATTCTTAGTTTAGGACATCTTAATTAGACAAAATTTCTCAAATTTGCACTTGAGTTCGACCACCAGAGCTGCATACTTCATCAGAATTAGGTCGACTACCTCGCAAATGGCGTTAACTTGATTAACTACAAGCTGTGAGTCATTGTGAACCTATATTGTTGTGACTTTTAATTCTAACGCCAGCTATAGGCCAAGTAGCAAAGCTTCATATCCGGCCATGTTGTTAGTTGCATCAAAATTGAACTTCAAAGCATGTTCACTTCGATAGTCATCTAGTCCAACTAGGACTGCTTCAGCTCCTGCTCCTTTATTATTTGATGCACCATCAACGTATAAAATCCATGTAACTGGTTGGACTTTCTGAGCTGGCTGATCAAATGTGCATTCAACAACAAAATCAGCCAGTGCTTGAGCTCGCATTGCTGATCTATGTTGGAACGTTATTTCAAACTCTCCCAACTCTACTGCCCATTTGATCAATCTACTAGAACATTCTGGTTTCTATAATATTTGCCGAAGTGGCTGGTCGGTCAAGACGATAATCGGGTGTGACTGAAAATAAGGTCTTAACTTCTTAGCAGAGATAACTACTACTAGAGTTGCTTTTTTAGCAATGAAATACCTCTGTTATGCTCCGTGTAGCACTTTACTAGTATAGTAAAATGACTTATGCTGCTTTCCTTCTTCTCTTACTAGTACCGAACTGATTGCCTCATATGAGATACCAAGGTACAAGTAAAGGATCTCCCTATCAACAGCTTTCGTTAACAATGGAGGTGAGCTAAGGTAAATCTTGAGCTCGTCAAATGCAGCTTGGCATTCTGAACTCCACTCAAATTTTTTCTGTTTGCCAGATTTATCTTTTTGAGCCGCAGATCTCATAATCTTGAAGAATGGAAGACACTTGTCAGCAGATTTGGAAACAAATCTGTGGAAGACTGCCACCCTAATAGTTAACCTCTATACTTCTTTCATTAACTTCGGAGGTCCCATCTCTTCTATTGCTTTGATCTTTTCTAAGCTGACCTCGATACCCCGCCTAGAAGCCTAGAAATGATGAAACCCAGAAATTTTTTGGATTCCACTCCGAAAATACACTTGGCTGGATTTAACCGTATTCTGTTCTTCCTCAAATTATTGAAAGTTTCCTCCACGTCAGCTATATGATCTTTAACCTTCAGGCTTTTCACAAGAATGTCATCAACATAAACTTCTAAGTTTATGCCAATCTAAGCTCAAAACACAATGGTTACCATTTGCTGATAAGTAGTGCCTGCATTCTTTAGATCGAAAGGCATCATAACATAGCAATAGATTTCATCTCCTACATAGAATGAAGTTTTCTCTTCGTCTTCTGAGGCCATTGGAACTTGGTGATATCCAGAATATGCATCTAAGAGACTCAACCTCTCATTTCCAGAAGCTGCTTCAATTAGCTTATCAATAATTGGCATCGGATAATAGTCCTTACGACAAGCTTGGTTCAAATTAGTGTAATCGAAACACATTCGCCATTTGCCATTGGATTTCTTGACCAGCATTGAATTGGCAATCAACTCACAATAGTCGACTTTTCTGACGAAACCTGCTTATAAAAGCTTTTCTACTTCTTCCTTGATCACCTTGAGCCTCTCCCCCCCAAAGAGGCATCGTTTGTATGTAACCGACTTTTTCAAGGGATTTGTGATAAGTTTGTGCATAGATATAGAGGTAGGAACTGCTGGCATGTCTACAAAGGTCCAGGCAAAAACATCTTTGTTGGCTCAGAGGAATGCTATCAGCTCAGCTCTGTCTTCCTAGTTCAAACAAGTTCCTATTGTGTTTTTTTGTTCGGATCTCTGTTATCAATCTATACTTCCTCAACATCTTCAACTAAGGCAGCTCGGGTTTCGTCTTTAGGTCAGTTATCGAGGATTTCAACCCCCATCACCTACTAGTTATCATGGACTTGTTGTGGGGCGATTTCTGCCATCTAATCTTTTTGTTTCAACGGCCTTGTAACCGAGGTAATATAACAATGCCTGGCTATCTCCTGATTGCCTTTTAGTGTTGCTATCCTCATGGGAGTAGGGAATTTCACGTAGAGATGGGATTGAGAGACCATAGCTCGGATCTCCATTAATGTAGGTCGACTAATAACAACGTTGAAAGATGAAGCCATTTTAATAACTAGATACTGAACTGAAGGAGTAACATAAGTTCGGCCACTTCCAAATGCAACATTGAGGGTAAGGACCCCCTTCAACCTGAACAGGTTGGTTGTTGAAGCCATATATAGGACCGTCGTACCTCTGTAACAGAGCTGAATCCAGCCCTAGACTTTCAAAACAATGGTAATATATGATGTCTGGTGCAATACCTGTGTCAACAAGGACACGCTGTACCTCACAGTTGTTAATCATAACAGAAGTGACCAATGGATCATTATGAGGGGATATCACTCCATCGAAGTTAGCAGGTGTAAAGGTGATGGGTTGACTCTTCCATTTTGTATCATCAAACTTTTGTTTCTGGGCCCTGTTTTGGGGTTTTACCTCCCTGACATATAGTGTCCATTGTTTGGAGCTCAAACCTCCTACTTCTAGGCCACCTGTGATCATGTGAATGATTCTAGCCGGTGGTGGGAGGGGTGGTGGAGCTTGTTAGTATCCCACTTCTTGTCTATTATTTGCATTATGAGTCCCTTGTGACTGTAAACCCTGTTCCTTGACAAAGGCAGACTAATCTATTCTCTAGACATACTCATTTAACATCCCCTTCCAAGCCGTGCTTTCTAATTCAGATTTTAGCTGATTACACTCCTCCGTGGTGTGACCAGGATCTTGATGGAAATCACAGTATTTGGTGTGGTCTCTGGTGGCAGAAGAACTTCTCATTGGTGCTAGTCGTCTCATGTCCATCTTATTCTTAATCTGCATGAATATCTACGATCGCGATAGATTGAAAGGAGTCCATGTAGCTGGTGTTTTGCTAAGAGTTTGTTGAAGAGGTGCTGAAGTTGGTCTTCCGAGACTCGGCGTTGAGGTTAACATCGGACCTTGGTTCTGTATTGTCTTCATCTATCTTTTGCTCTAACCCTCTTCTTTCTAAGTCGGGTTTTGATTCTTAACAGGAGCTGGTTTTTGTGACAAAGCATATTCCTCAACAGTTGTAATTCTCAGATATCTGTCGTTAACTTCATTGAAAGTAGAAGGAGGGTGCTTAATTAGACTGTCCCTGAATCTTTCATGTTTGAGGCCCTAAATTATAGTTGCAATTCCTACAACCTGATCAAATGAGCTAACCTCAAAAACTACATCATTGAACCTGCTCATGTAATTTTTTAGGGATTCTCCTTCCCTCTACGCAATTCACATAAGTTCAGGTGTAGTTTTCTTAATTAATCTCCTGCTGGAGAACTTAATAGCAAAGACAGACGTCGTCTTTATATAAGAGCTGATAGATCTCGGGGGTAGACTGTAATACCAAGTTCGAACATTGCCTCAGAGAGTTGAGGGAAAGATTTTGCACATCATGCATCAGAGGCATTTTGAGCCTGCATACAAGAGTAGAAAGCATGTAGGTGACCATCTTGGTCCTTGGTTCTGTTGCATGTTTCAAGCTGAGGTATCTTGAAGCCAGTAGGATAAGGTTCTGAGGTTATGTTGATATTCAAAGGATGGGGTACTGAGGTTGTAATATTCTGAAAAGGTGGAGCACCTCGTTGTTTAGCTACCATTTTTTCTAAACTGTCCAGACATCGTGTGACCTCATCAAGTAAGGGTTATGGAGCTGGGGCCACATGAGATTGGCCTTGAGACTCACTGAGGGCAAGAGCATGTTGGTGATCATTGGAGCGAACTGAAGGAGGTTCTTATTGTTGAATTGAAGGTTGTTGAGCTGGGTTCAATAAATTAATGAGGGGATCATCGGGGTTACTCCGAGCTAAGAGTTGAGCCAAAACTAGCTAAAAAACACCGAATTGCTGTTGCATTGTAGCAAGCTAAGCTAAGACTTGGTCATCTTGGCTGGGGGTAGGAGCTGGGTTATATGGTAGTGGTGGGTTCTCATCACCTCTTTCTGCATGTTCCCTAGTGGTGAATAGGTTTGGTGTATGAGGTGGTAAGTTATTTGTTTGTTGTGGTTGACCTCGGCCAAGAGGTTGAGCTTGACTTCCAATTCGAACAGATCGGGTGTTGACCATGGTGAGAAAGCAACAAGAGAACTTTCAATTCGGATTCCCACAAATGGCGCCAAATGTAATTGCAACAAACTAGGTGACTTCTTCTAGTCCAAGTCTTCTCTTTGGGATGACCGGCAAAGCCTCGAGGTGGATCCTCGGGATAGACACTCTGATACTTAAGTCAGCAATAGTCTGGTCTACCTTTAAGAATTATGGAAAAAGAAGCTTTAGGTCGGTTTGAATTACCTTTTTGAGGTAACCCCTGGGGGTATCTATAGGCTCTAATGAGGTATCCACGTGGCCTGCTTAACAAGATAATCGAAGTCTGACGTGTCCATTTAGGCGATCATCTTGGGGATAGAGAATCAGGTGCAGGCGTGTCTACTGTAGCTGTCATGCTACTGCACGACTGAGAAGAACTGAGCTTGCAGGCTACTTCGATCATTAATGAAATATGGCAGTACGTCCGAGGTCCTTAACCTTGGACCTATCCTTATAGTACTACAAGCAATTGAAGGGAAAAATGGATGAAATTATCAGCATTGATCTTCATGTATAAAAAAGTGAGAAAGCTTACAAATCCATACGAAAACTTTAGCATTCCCCGGCAAAAGTAACACAAGAATATCAGAAAACATGGTTCTAAAACTGAAAAATGGCTGTAATTAACTAGAGAAAATACAGAAAATACCCGAGTTAAATGAGAAAAGGAGTAAAAGAGAGAGAAGGGTAAGAGACAGAGTTGAATTGCGCATTGCTGCTTGACTGTTGGGGTAGTAATAGGAGAAGTGAAGGATTATATGGTGTAAGGTGCTATTGCTAGAGATATAGTTGTTACTTCAGGCACTATTATTTGTCATAAATGGTATAAAACATTTTTGTGAGAGGTAGCCAAAGGATTCAGCATTAGCATCTGTTTGAGGAGAGGTTAGTTAATGCTCAACGGCTATGCTAGTGACAAGGAATATCAATGGGTGAAACATGAATTAAATAAGGTCTTGATCATGAGGTCTAGAATCTACTTTTTACTCTTTCTGTCACCAAGAACTCAAAGCAAACTCTCTTTTATCTTATTACACATCTGTTTTCGACTTGAATCAAGAACCTAAGCAAATGAATACCATTGGCATTGAACTATAGAGAGAGTAATATTAATTCGCAACCTTCCTCTTGAAAAAAATTCATGTCATTTTGGCCTTCTCCTATTTTATTAGTTACATTATTAATTGAACTAGTAGTTTAATAAAAAAAAATATTATCTTCTTCACATCACATGTCTTTTTTCTATCCAAAATTTTTTTTTTCTTGAATGACAAAATATCTAAATTATCTTTATTTCTGACTAATATAAATATTGTATTTTTATGTAAAAATAATTTAAATTTTATACCATCACTTTCAAATTTAGTAAAAATTAGTGAGCTTATTTTCAATCATATTTGTAGACTTTGGTGGTCATCTAAATAAAAAATATTATTGCTCTGGAGATCATTTATGGATGCCATTAGTGACTTGTGATAGAAGACTTGTCTTTTCTCTTATGAAACCAAATCAAGTTGTGTGTTAGGAGGCTGTTTTCTTTGAATTTGGACTAAAGAAGATTGCATCCTACCTTTAGAAGGCTGTTTTCTTTCTTTTAATAAATCCACCCTACTTTCGATCTAAGTTCAAGTCACGGACTCATAGACTAATGCCTCAATTTCAAACTAGCTTCCATCACTTAAATAAATAACACCGAACTCCAGCAAGCGTTCGATGGCCGCACGTCTTATTGAGGTCGGTGGATTGTTCACTAAGTCCAAAAATCGAATCTCCAGCTACTAACATCTAACAATACTAATCTACTAACCATTGCCTTTATCAAAAAAATAAATAAATAAATAACACCAACAGGCGAACATGCACATGCATGTAACTACATGTATGGTATTAATGCAAGAACGTATTATCCGTTTATGTTTTATTGTTTAAATTACATTTCTTTACAAAACTTCAATCGGGCCTTCATCATTTAATAATTGATATTTTATAATGTGATGTAAATTATCAATTCTATAATAATTTTTGTATAGCGATATCGAAAATAACTTTTTTATATTATTTTTATATAATATTTATATATTATTAAATAAATAATACATGTTTGATATCACAAATTTTAAATAAATAAATAAAATTAATTATTTTAATAATGTGTTAAATTATATAAAAAAATAATATAAAAAAATTATCCCTAAATCACCATTTTGCGACACATCTAACGAAACCTATAAGTGGGCTTCACCCAAAGACGTCGGCAAAGTCCCAGACCTTATCCCGCCTCCCCCATTTTCGCCCCACCCAGCCACTGCATATCTCTCCAATGCAAAACCCCACCACCATTTCCCTCCAATTTTTGGCAATCATCTGCAACTTGCACGTCAATGGGGGTTCCCCAACCTATTCAGAGGTCAGCAACGCGTTTTACAAACCAACTACCATAGTATTTGCATAATTTCTCTCTGTTCAAATCTAGCAGGTCCACTCCCCAGTTTCAGCAGCCACTAATTAAGACCAGATTTTTCCCCATACCCATCTCTTTCTTAACTGTATCTGATATTAACATCATCTAAACCTCAAATATTCATGATTAGTTGTTCATAAAAAAATATTCAGGATTAGTTTAGTTTATTAATAAAATATGTGTTGGGTTCTCCAGTTGCTGTGAGCTGTTTGCTGGTCAGTTAGTCCTGGTCAGTTAGTCCTGGTCAGTCTTTTGATTCCTTTACATATTACTTCTTTAGGTATTTATATATTCCTTCTAGATAAATGCCAGTGAGTTTTTGTCCTCACAAGACCTGCAAGTCAAGGTCTTGAAATTTAGCAAAGGTTCAGAGAATCAACTTCTTCCTTGCCATATATGATTGATGTTTGATAATTTAACGTCCTAGTGAATAAGGTTTTGTAGGGTCATTTTGTTAATTAGTTGAAACTAGTATATATAAGGGGTTTCTCATTTATAGTTTATATCCACTTTACTTCATATCAACTTTTCAAATACTTCCTCTAGCCATGGTGTCTAAATGTGTCATTTTAATCACAGTGATGCTTTGCTCTTTGATGGTTGCTGTTCCATGTGCAAAACCAAGTTTAGGAGTTGAGGTTGAGGCCTTAAAGGCCTTCAGGAGTTCTGTCATTGATGATCCATTAGGAGCACTTGCAGATTGGAATGAGGCAAGTCACCACTGCAACTGGACTGGTATTGCCTGTGATCCTTCCTCTGGTGGTGTCATTTCGATTTCTTTGGTCGATAAGCAGCTCAGAGGAGTGATATCTCCATTTCTCGGAAACCTTTCCAACCTCCAGGTTCTTGACTTAACTTTGAATTCATTCTCAGGGCAGATTCCTGCTCAACTAGGACAATGCTCTCATCTTTCTGTACTAACTCTTTACTATAACTCTCTTTCGGGTCCCATTCCGTCTGAATTAGGAAACCTTAGAAATCTACAATCAATAGACTTTGGTGATAACTCTTTGAATGGAACCATTCTTGATAGCATTTGCAACTGCACTTCCTTGTTATCTCTTGGCCTTGATTCTAACAATCTCACAGGCACAATCCCAAAAGACATAGGAAACTTGGCTAATCTTCAGCTTCTTGCAGCATTTAGAAATGATTTGGTAGGTTTAATACCTGCATCCATAGGTAGGTTGGGAGCTTTGCAAGCTTTTGATCTGAGTCAAAACCAATTGTCTGGAGTAATACCTCCACAGATTGGGAACATGTCCAGCTTAGAGCAACTTCTTCTTTTCGAGAACTCACTTGTAGGACAGATCCCATCTGAACTTCGGCATTGTATGAATCTTTTCCAGTTAGAGCTCTATAAAAATCAGTTCACGGGAAGCATACCCTCCGAGCTGGGAAATCTGGTTCATTTGCAGATGTTAAGATTATACAAGAATAAGTTGAATTCCACAATCCCTTTGTCCTTATTCCAATTAAAATCATTAAGGCATTTAGGACTCTCAGAGAATGAGTTAACTGGAACAGTACCTCAAGAGCTTGGATCTTTGAGATCCTTAGAAGTTCTAACCCTGCATTTTAACAAGTTCACTGGTGAGATTCCTTCATCATTGACAGATTTGACTAACTTGACTTATCTGTCTTTGAGCTTCAATTCCCTCACAGGAATACTTCCACAGGATATTGGTAAGCTTTACAAGCTGAAGAACCTGAGCATAGACGCTAACCTTCTTGAGGGATCCATTCCTCCTAGTATCATTAATTGTACCAATCTTCTATCAATTGCATTAACCAACAACAGGTTAACTGGAAAGATCCCCTTTGGTTTAGGCCGGTTGCCAAATCTAACGGTCCTATCTATTGAGCAAAATCAGATAGCCGGTGAAATCCCTGATGATCTCTTCAACTGCTCAAATCTTGTTTCCCTACGTTTGAGATTTAACAATATCACTGGATTGCTAAAACCAGCCATTGGAAAACTCCAAAATCTCCGGGTTCTGAGAGTTGCCTTCAATTCCTTTGTAGGGTCAATTCCACCAGAGATTGGCAATTTAGGCCAACTCATAATCGTATCCCTCTCTGGAAATAGGTTCACAGGCCTAGTTCCACCAGAAATATCAAAGCTTTCTCTCCTTCAAGGACTTGACTTGCATACCAATTCTCTAGAGGGTTTAATCCCTGAGAAAATTTTTGAGCTGAAGCAGCTGACCTCTCTTGACTTGCACAGCAACAGGTTGATAGGTCCCATTCCAAATAACATCTCAAAACTGGAGTTTCTTACATACTTGGACCTCAGTGATAACCTGCTTAATGGGTCCATCCCAAAAGGCATGGAGTGTCTATTTCGGCTTATGTCCTTGGATCTTTCTCACAACCATCTCATAGGACCAATTCCTGGATCTGTAATTGTGGGTATGAAAACCATATCGGTGTATCTGAACTTTTCATACAATTTCTTGGAAGGAAGTATTCCGCATGAGCTTGGTATGCTGGCAATGGTTCAAGCCATTGACATCTCAAACAATAATCTGTCAGGTGTCATTCCTGAGACACTGGAAGGCTGCAGGAATTTGTTCTTTCTTGATCTTTCAGGGAACAAACTTTCTGGTCCAATTCCGGAGGAGGCTTTTACTCATATGGATATGCTAACCAGCTTGAATCTTTCACAAAATATTTTAGGTGGTGAAATCCCTGAAAACTTGGCAAAGTTGGACCACCTAAGGTCTCTAGACCTTTCTCAGAACAAATTGAATGGCAGCATCCCTGAGAGCTTTGCCAATCTTTCTACATTGAGACGTTTGAATCTTTCATTCAATCAACTTGGAGGCCGAATTCCAGAGAGTGGAATATTTCGAAACATCAGTTCATCAAGTTTGGAAGGAAATCCGGCGCTCTGTGGAACCAAATTTCTCATGCCATGCAGCAGCAAAAAAAGCTCCCACCTACTTTCAAAGAAGATGGTATCAATCCTTCTTATTCTTGGATCTGTTGCTGTTCTTGTTCTATTGGTGCTAGTCATTTTTGTGCTAAAGCAGTGTGCCAGGAAGAGGAAAACGAAAAAAGTTGAAAATCCAGGACCAGAGATCATGTTGCCAGTGATGCTGAAAAGGTTTGATAAAAAGGAATTAGAAAATGCTACTTGTTCCTTCGGGGAAGGTAATATTATTGGAGCAAGCAGTTTGAGTACAGTGTACAAGGGTCAACTGGAAGATGGCCAGCTGATAGCTGTAAAGAAATTGAATTTGAAGCAGTTCTCCAAAGAATCCGACAAGTGCTTCAACAAAGAAGTAAAAAACTTGAGCCACTTGAGGCACAGAAATCTGGTGAAGGTTCTCGGCTATGCCTGGGAGAGTGAGAAACTAAAGGCTGTGGTTCTTCAGTACATGGAGAATGGGAGTCTGGAGAACATTATACATGGATCAGCAGCAGAGCTTTCAAGGTGGACATTATCTGGGAGAATTGATCTTTGTGTTTCAGTTGCTACCGCGTTGGATTACTTGCATTCTGGTTATGACTTCCCAATTGTGCACTGCGATTTGAAGCCTTCAAATATACTTCTGGATGGAGATTGGGTTGCAAATGTAAGTGATTTTGGAACAGCTCGAATGCTTGGTGCTCATCTACAGGATGGAAGCAGCCTTTCCTCATCATCGGCTTTTGAAGGCACTATTGGCTACTTGGCACCAGGTAAACTTTCAATCAGAAATCAGAAACCACATGAATTACAGGTCTCTCCTTTTCAGCTTTTCATTTTTTGTTTTTCTCTATTTCTTTCTTTCGTTCTGATATACTTAAAACATTCCTCTCAGAGTTTGCATACATGAGAAAGGTCACCACCAAAGTCGATGTGTTCAGCTTTGGCACAATCATGATGGAGTTCCTAACAGGACGAAGGCCAACAGGACTTGCAGAAGAAAATGGGCTTCCAATCAGTTTGCGTCAGCTAGTCGAGAAAGCTCTGGCCAACAGAATCAATGGACTTCTTCAAGTTTTGGACCCTAAGTTAGTTCCACACATCCTCACCAAGGAGCAAGGGGAAATCCTGGAAGAACTCTTCAAACTAGCCCTGTTTTGCACCTGCCCTGATCCTGAGCTCAGACCTAACATGAATGAAGTCCTGTCTTCCCTTCTCAAGCTAAAAGTTAGAAACTAGAAAGTATCAAGAATGGAAGGGACAGAGAAATGCTGAAGGACATAATAAAAATCTACTTTTATGGAGACCGCAAGTTATCTGAAATAGAAAGGGTCTCCAGCATAGCAATTTTTATTTCAATTCCCTTTTTGAAGGTAATCCAATCAGGATATTTACACATATAGATATATAAAGTATAAACACTGGATTCCATTGGCTCAAGAAAAGAGAAATATTTTCATATTCCATTGCAAGCATGTAGCTACTCCACTGCTAGACAATGACAATAACAACAAAGAAAACTCAAATAAAAAGAAAGAAAAATGGCACTAGAAAACTCTTAGTACTTGTCATTCTTTAGGAGGATCCTTCTTCAAGAATTCATCCATGGCGGATGGGAACTCCATGCCACCGGAACTATAATCATCAGAGCTCTCAAAAGCAGCCTTACCCAAAAGCAAGAAAGCAAGCCTCAACGGCTCCTTATCATTCTCCATAAAATACCTAATCCATCTCTCCATTCTCTCCACTTCCTTCTCACACTTTGGCCCCTTAACCCCCACAATCTTTCCATAAAACCCACACTCATATCCACAAGAATCCTCTTTACAGACAACAACCCTTTGCTTCCCTTTTTGTTGGGTTTCTTGTTGATGATCTGATAAACCCAAGAGTTGCATCAAAGTTTCAATATCGTGGGTGTCTTTGGTGGGTGTTTGGGGATCTGAGGGGTCTGTTTGAGATTGGTTTCGATGCTTTTGATGGGTTGCTAGGAATGGTGGAGAGGAAGATAAGAATTCTGGAGGGGGTTCACTGCTTTCTTGGAGGTTTGTGCAGTTGCTGCCATTAGTGCTCGTGGGTTGGTCGAAATGGAGGTATAAAGGAGAGCTTAAAGATTCCACTGGTGTAGAGTCCGTTCCCGGCACCGGCAGCGAAGTAATGGACTGTCCAGAATCCGGTGGCTGCTCAAGTCTCAATCTTTTCTCAACCTGAAAAAAAAATAATAATAAAATAAAATAAAGATAAAAACAATCTAGAATCGACATAAATATACATCCAAGAGGAACATTTAAGATTATTTACCCTTTTAAGAGAAGAGAAGAAATTGGAATGAAGAGACGGCGGTTGCATTTTCGAAGTTCAACTTGCCTTCCCAATACCCTAATTTCAAGATGTCAACTTTATAGAAAGTTTCACTGACAATGGAAAATTTTGAAGAAAAGAATTATTGGGTATTGAAGAAAATAAGAAAATTCATTCCATTGGAACAGGAATTACACAAATTTCACAAGTAAAATGCATTTTTAGCACAAACAATTCACATTGCACTCATTAATCTGCAATAAATTTACATGAAAACAACACAGGAAACACGAAACAATCTCGATATCTAAGTTCTCACTTCCCAGGGACAAAGTTTGTGGCATAAGCCCAGGCATTGTTGTTGACTGGGTCGGCAAGGTGGTCGGCGAGGTTCTCCAATGGTCCCTTTCCGGTCACAATGGCCTGAACGTAGAACCCGAACATGGAGAACATAGCCAGTCTCCCATTCTTGATCTCCTTCACCTTCAACTCAGCGAATGCCTCTGGGTCATCAGCCAGACCCAATGGGTCAAAGCTACCACCGGGGTACAATGGGTCGGTCACCTCCCCAAGAGGCCCTCCAGCAACCCTGTATCCCTCAACAGCTCCCATCAAGATGACCTGTGTGGCCCAGATGGCCAAGATGCTCTGGGCATGGATCAAGCTTGGGTTGCCCAAGTAGTCAAGTCCACCCGGACTGAAGATCTGAGCTCCAGCCTTGAACCAGACGGCCTCACCAAACTTGACGCCGTTCCGGGCCAGAAGCTCGGGAAAAACGCAACCCAGAGCCCCCAACATGGCCCACCTTGCGTGGATCACCTCAAGCTCACGGTTCTTGGCGAAGGTCTCTGGGTCAGCGGAGAGCCCAGCAGTGTCCCAACCATAGTCACCAGGGAACTCACCAGTCAAGTAGCTAGGGGGCTCACCAGAGAATGGGCCCAAGTACTTAACTCTGTCTGGACCATACCACGGGCTGCCAGAGGAAGCTGGCCTGGTGACGGGTTTGCGCATGGTGACACGGCTTTTGCCGAGGATCTCTGAGGCGGAGGGAGCGAGCTTCACCGCCTTGCCGGCGAATGAGGGAGAGGAGAGAGCCATGGTTGAGGCAGCCATTGTAGGAGTGAAGAAAAAAATGCAATGAAAGCAACTTGATGAGTGTTAGTGGTTGGGCTTGAATGGGCTTTGTATTAATATATGGGTCATAACGCAACGAAAGGAAAGAGTCCTTATCCAAGGAGATCTACATCTCAACTCTCATTGGTCCATAACAATTTCGTGGTCTGATTTTGTGTGTCCTCGTGGCTACTCTCTAAACCACTTATTCAAACTCCATGAACCAAAGCGTCAAAAATGTACAAGGATGATTTCTGTTCTTTCTATCTATTTTATCTCCAATGAGGATAAGCCATATAAGCTCCCAATATTTGCTTAGTTGATTTTTTTTACCGGTGAACAAACGTAAATAGGTAGAAAGCAAATGCATTGCCGAACAGTACATTCTTGTACTAGAGAAATCATATTTGTTTCCCGTGAAATTCTTATCAATTAATAAGTGGTAAGTAATATATAACAATTTAAGAAAATGATATATTCACATTTTTTTGTTACATCATCCGTCACACATTCACTCTGTCTTTGTTTCTCTCCGTTTTTTTCATTAACCCAACAGCTCTCCTCTTTACCCAACACTGGTTCTTTGATTTTCGACCTTCTTTCTTCTTTTCCCTCCTCCTTTCTTTTTCTTCTTCTTTCCCTCTCCTCCCCTCCTCTTCCTTCTCTCCCTCCCTCCTTGATCTATTGAGGAGAACCCAGATTGAGTTCTCAAGGAGAATCCAAATCTGAGTTCTTGATTCTCCAGGAAAACTTGAAATGGAGAATCCAAGGAGAACCTGATCTGGGTCCTCCAGATGGAAAGAGAAAAAAAAAAAGAGGAAGAAGATAATGGATTTGTTAGAATTTTTACAAATTTGATAATATAGTAAATTGTTTGGTTGATAAAAAATTGGAAACTTTCCACCAACATTTGAAACCCAACTTCATGTCTAAAAGAAAGAAAAGGTCAATCAAAACAACAAGAAGGAGAAAGGAAAGCAAAGATAGAGAGAAAGGAAAGCAAGGAGAGTAAGAAACGGCCATTTGGAGTTAACAGATTAAATAACAGAAAATGAAAATATGTGATAAACATGTAACGAAAAAGTATAAATGTATCATGGTTCAATAATTTATGATATTGAAAATAACTGTCTTTCAATAAAGTTAAATTCAAGTAATTCATATAGCTCAATAATTTTTTATATTGTGATAAAACATTCCTTGGATAATCTAAGCTTGATGAGAATTGGACAACAAGGAGTTGTATAGTTGACCTACTTAGAGAATTTTTTTTTTTTTTTTCCTTTTAGAAGATTTTTCGCTTTCAAAACTTCCTATCAACCACTTAAACGTAACATGTTCGATTTCAAGCATGATTTCTTCTGCGATGTATGAGCATCACACCATCTCAAATATCTACCTCAAATTGATTGAGAATTTGTCTATTTGTAATGAGAATGAATTCAGCCCATTTGATGAGAATTGTTAAAATTTATCTTATTAATCACCAAAGTACGAGACAAAGTAGACGTCTCATTGGGATTAGTTCCACACAAAAATCAGTGTACCTGTCCCGCTGTCCGAATGCAAAAATATTTTTCAAATTCTGAATATCCTGTGGACGTGGTAATCTTGAAAAAAAATCTACACGTGTATAACCCTCATTGGCTAAGCAGGGTATAGTGAATCTAACGACTTTGTGGATTATAGGGGGACAAGTCAGCCATGAAAAACAAAATGAAAATCTTGAACATCCAATAAAATGTTAGTTTTAGATGCTGCAGAGATAAGGTTACCTCTTGTTTATTATCCTATATAAATCCACAAAACCACTTTCATTTTCCGACCAGAAGAAGCCTTCATTGTTCATTCACAGATCTCGTTCAATTAACAATGGCCGCCTCAACCATGGCTCTTTCCTCCCCCTCCTTCGCCGGCAAGGCGGTGAAGCTCGCTCCCTCCGCCTCCGAGATCCTCGGCAAAAGCCGTGTCACCATGCGCAAAACCGTCACCAGGCCAGCTTCCTCTGGCAGCCCGTGGTATGGCCCAGACAGAGTTAAGTACTTGGGTCCATTCTCTGGTGAGCCCCCAAGCTACTTGACTGGTGAGTTCCCTGGTGACTATGGTTGGGACACTGCTGGGCTCTCCGCTGACCCAGAGACCTTCGCCAAGAACCGTGAGCTGGAGGTGATCCACGCTAGGTGGGCCATGTTGGGAGCTCTGGGTTGCGTTTTTCCCGAGCTTCTGGCCCGGAACGGCGTCAAGTTTGGTGAGGCCATCTGGTTCAAGGCTGGAGCTCAGATCTTCAGTCCGGGTGGACTTGACTACTTGGGCAACCCAAGCTTGATCCATGCCCAGAGCATCTTGGCCATCTGGGCCACACAGGTCATCTTGATGGGAGCTGTTGAGGGATACAGGGTTGCTGGAGGGCCTCTCGGGGAGGTGACCGACCCATTGTACCCCGGTGGTAGCTTTGACCCATTGGGTCTGGCTGATGACCCAGAGGCATTCGCTGAGTTGAAGGTGAAGGAGATCAAGAATGGTAGACTGGCTATGTTCTCCATGTTCGGGTTCTACGTTCAGGCCATTGTGACCGGAAAGGGACCATTGGAGAACCTCGCCGACCACCTTGCCGACCCAGTCAACAACAATGCCTGGGCTTATGCCACAAACTTTGTCCCCGGCAAGTGAGAGCTTAGATATTGAGATTGTCTCATGTTTCCTGTGTTGTTTTCATATAAATTTATTGCAAATTTATGAGTCTAATGTGAATTGTTTGCGCCAAAAATGCATTTTGCTTCTCATTCCTCATCCAAAAGAGCCACAAAAATGTGATACCATGAAAGTTAAAACACAGAAAATCAACTATCGCAGTTTAGTCATATAGAAGCAAAAAAATGATTAATTTTTGGGTGTGAGATTAATTGTGAGCATTAAAACTTTACCCGTAATACAGCTTTGTGCCTGTCGAATCACCAGCTTCAAGCATTTATTCCTCCTTAATAGATAAGGAGAAGGCTGTCTCTCTTATAGGCCAAAATCTGCACTAAAAGCACGACTTCATACTGCCTTCGCTCTTGCCATGGTGGATTTGCATAGATACCTCGTATTGCGATGCTGAAGACTCCCAACTGAAATCCATATTCATGTCACTGCGAACAAGCTCTTGCCAACTCTTGTAGTTGTTTCGGTAGTGATCAAATGCTCGTTCCAAAGCACTGTTTACACCGTGTCAATTTTTCATGACATCCAAGATAAGAATGATAAAGAACCAATGCTGCTAGAGAAAAGCGTGGATTGACATAGAATTTGGTCTGAGGTCTATGGCTAAAGCGTCGGTGTGAAAATGAGAAAAAATGTGGTTATTGATGTTCTATTCCGTTCAAATTACCTTCTCATCAGGAGTCGTGAAAGTATATCCATTTCGAAACTGGAGAGGTATTGTGTCATCATCAACATCAAATACACTACAGAAGAAAAAATTTTAAGTTTGAGCATATGATTTGCTAGCCTGAGTAACGTCAAATTAGAGTGGTGATATGTATGTAAATCAGGCAGGAGCTTACCTGTCGTTAAGACCACCAGTTTTTCTTGCAATAGGTATGGAACCGTATCTCATTGCTATCATCTGTAAAAAAATTCAAACAAGGACAAAAATGAAATCTAAGAACAGGCTCAAATATGTAATGGTATTGGGGTTTGGATCTAACAAATACAAATTAATATTCTTGGCTGTAATATCTTGATTCTCCACCATAGCTTGTTATTGCTACAATTATCTTACCATTACTGATACACTTCTATTGAGTGATCTAAGTTGGAAGTTACCTGTGTAAGCCCACAAGGCTCAACAATAGATGGGATGATAAACATGTCCGGCGCAGCATAAATGAAGTGTAAGAGAGACTCATCATATTTCAAAATAATGAGTGGTGTCATTGAAATAATCTTTTTGTCTCGTTTTTTTATATAATTTTCACATGTCATTAAATGAGTTGATGTATTTAATATCATAGATTTCACATAAATTAAAAGAACTAATCATTTTAATAATACGTCAGGTTATACAAAAAATGTGAGATAAAAATGTTATACAATTATCATTTCCCTAAAATAATTAATATTAGTTTGAAATTAACTTATAAACTAATCTTGAAATCAAGATTTTGTCTATTTTAAAGGAAACTTAAATTTTAAAGAGTTGAATTCAAATTCACAAAATTTATGGTGTGCTCAAGTTTTAATCTAAAGATTACTTTTTTTAGTTTAGGGCCATTTCTCATTTAGGAGTTTATATTTTGGACTATGTTTGAATTGTGTCATACTATAAATACTTTCTCGTACATTTTTTATGGTTAGCTGAATTTTGAATGAAGATTACGTTTCTTTTATGGTCATCTTAATAGAGATTATGGCATAACTAATTTCATACTACAAGTACATAATATGGAAGAGATTCTACCACAAACCCTAGTGCCTCTCTTCTCCTTTCTCTCTCATAGTCGTTACACTCTCTTTTTCTTCTTCTTTTCTCTTATCTGTGGTAGCCTCTTTCTCCTACAATGCTTATAGAAAATAAAAAAAATATGAGAGTTTTTCTTTCTTTGTGAAGGCTTCTATCTCAAAGAGAGTCTTTTTCTCTTTCAGAGGTCTCTATCTAAGTTTTTTTTTTTTTTTTTGATATTTTTATTAAGTTTCACTATTATAAAAGAAGAGATACAAAGGTAGCTGATTTTTCTACCCTAAAACCAATGCTGGCATGTCAAAAGGGACTTTAAAGGGGTGAAGAAGGTCAAAATAACTGTTTAACTACTCTATAATCCTAGTTCAAGCCCTTACATGATTATTTTTGTAATCTTTTAGTTTTAAATAGGTTATTATTTTTAATTATTTAAATCTATTTACTAGTGTTTACAACCTATTATTATATATTGTAAGTATAACTTCAAAGCCCTTTATGAGTTTATCTAGAGATTATGGTTTGTTGTGCATAGAAATCTCTAATTTTCTTTACCTCATAATAGATTGTATGATATGCTATACTTCTTTTTCATTAAATCTATCATGATTTTATTTTATCAAAAAAGTGGATATTAATTTGTATCCAAAAAATTAAGTAAAAAAATTTTAAAATTATATCGTTTTAATAAAGTTTTATTAAAAAAATAAAATTCTTAATTATTTTTAAAGTAGAGTTGAGAATGTTTTAATTTTTAATTTTAGTATTTTATTAAAATAATTTAATTTTAAAATTTTTTTCTTAATTTTTATAAATTCTGCTCATAAACATTAATCTTTATTTTATTTATCAAAAAATTTTGGACAAGATTCCCATCGGGTGTGAACCAGAGACGGCCTTGACCGGCCCAAACCTCCGAGAAGCTTTTGAGCCGTCTGCCGTAAGGCGGATCAGTCCATTGGGCTTAACGCCGTTAATCACATAAATGATAATTTTGGCCTTTTTCATTTCCAAATATTCCATACAAGAAAAAATAATAATAATAATAATAATAACGCGTACGTAACACGCGAAGAAACAATGCAAAACGAGATTGAATCACCGGTCGCCGGTGCTGTTGTATTTCTTCCTTTTTCAGAGGATAACTCTTTTCCGGTACGCATACAAAATCTTCTCTTCTCAATTCAATCTCCAAATTTAGTTCATCTTATTTCATCGGTTATAAATTCAGATCTGATCTTTTCAAGTTTTCTGTATTAAAACGAATTGCATATTTGAAGTTCAAAATCTCTGTAATTCTCTTACTTTTTCTTGTTCTTGTAGAGTAATTTCATATGTAAATTTGGCTAAAATACTGAGATTCCGGTTATGGAGTCACGAAATGGCTGTTGCTTCTCCGATCTGTCTCCCAATTTCATTACTTATATCATCGTCGCCCTCGCGATCGGTATTCTCCGAGTTTTGTATGTTATGTATCAGAGCGGGAAGCCGTTCCGCCATAGATTGCCGGAGCAGCCTTTGAGTACGCTAGTAGTTTTAGGTTCAGGTGCGTGTTGATGTTGTTGATGCCTTTTCTTGCTGTTACTTTCATCATTTCTTAATTTTGATTGAATTTAGTGTAGGAGGGCACACGGCGGAGATGCTTAATGTGTTGTCTGTGCTGCAAAAGGGCAGATTTGCGCCGAGGTTTTATGTTGCTGCTGCTACTGATAATATGAGCCTCTTAAAGGCTCGTAGAATGGAGGCTTCTATAACTGAAACGGTAAATTGCATTTTGAGCCTTAATTTCTTTCAGTTCCGATGCTGTTAAGTTTTTGTGTCTGTTTTCCTGGTGTGTGCCTTTTGTTTTAGATAAGAGAAAGTGTCGTATCTATCCTAAATTTTATGTCCATGTTCTTGATTGAAGCATGTTTGGTTATTAGTATCAATTATAAGGAATCATTTGTTTCACTTGTAAATTAAATTTCAATTCTTGTGGGGCATGATTCGTTCTACACATGAATTCCTGATGGAACAAACAAAATTTAGTTACTAGGTGTGGAAATGCTAATCCGAATGCAATTCTATTGTAATGTCAAACAAAAGAATATGTGAAGTGTGGTTAAGAACAAAATGGAGTTGAGAGTTAACTGAACTGCTTAGGAACAAGTGCTTTGAGTGCCCTGCTCTCTGGTCTGACTACAAGGCACTTGATTTTTCTTAATAGGCTCAGCAATGACCTCTAAAGGCTGGATTCTTGGAATTTAATTCTATCATCTGTCATGTTCGAAATCTTTACCAATAGGAAGTCAACTTGCAGATCCCAGCTCTTTGTCATGCTTGTTATTGAGACTAATTGGTTTTTATTTTTTATTTATTTTTTATTTTTTATTTTTTTGGTGGTGGTGGTGTAAGGTGATTAGTGTTTGAATTTGTTACTGCAGAGTGGGTTCAAGGAGACTTCTGCACAATTTATGCAGATCTATAGAAGTAGGGAAGTCGGACAGTCATATATAACCTCCGTGTGGACAACTTTAATTGCTATTGCTCATGCATTTTGGCTGATGATCAGAATGAGACCCCAAGTGGTATTAGTTCTGTTATTTTTAGCATTGTATATCTTTTCCTAACTCAATGCTGCATTTATTAAAATTATGCTTGAATTTAGTTTCTTATTATCAATCTCTCTGAATTGCAGATTCTCTGCAATGGACCTGGTACTTGTGTTCCTTTGTGTGTAATTGCATTCTTGTTTAAGGTTTGACACATTTTCCCTTTAAGCCCACTTCATTTATGATTTTCCTTCATCATTTTATGAAGCTAAGTGCTTAAAGAAAATAAATTAAGAAAGTTAAATTCTTACAACTTTTTTTTTTCTCTCTCTTCAAGAGCATCTTCATTTTAATTTTTCATTGTTGGTTGAAGGTGGCGGGAATCAGATGGTCAACTATCTTTTATGTTGAAAGTATAGCCAGAGTGAAAAGGCTCTCTTTAAGTGGTTTGCTCCTCTATCAATTAAGGATTGCAGATCAATTCTATGTGCAATGGCCAAAACTGCAGAGGAAGTACCCTCGAGCTCATTATGTTGGTTGTCTAATGTAATCAATTTAATTCTGCTGCTAATAGGTGCTGTCAGTAACCTTTAAAATTTTGAGCATCTACAATTTTGCAGCTCTATTGTCAATATAGGATACTAAATATTGATTTCCTTAAAACTTAATGAAGGGATATAGAATAGTGCTATGTATCATAAGGATGTTGAAATATTGTACTCTATTTTGGTTCCTCTAGCCTTCTAAACTAAATGCTTAATTTGCAGGAAGGAAACAGTAGAGATAAAGGTTGTTACTCTTTTGAGGTTGCACTTGCTTCTTTTGCAAGAAAATACTCTAGTTAGAATTATGAAATCCTGCTTATTGCGCCAACTAAATTCAAGGGTGAAACTTCACTGCTTCCTATATGGACTCTTTAAGGGGGTGTTTGGTTGGCAGGAATTTTCTGTCCTAAACTTTATTTTTTATAAGGTTATTTATGTATTTTTACACATTAATTTTACAGTCAAAGGAGGATAAAACTAAAATTTTTAACATTTATTTTTTTTAATATAATTCTTAATGTAAACTTTTATTTTTCACACTTTTTGAAAGTTGAAAGTTTTCTTAAGATTTATTTGACAACTTTCCAATTAATTTTTTTTATATTAATTTTTTATCAAGCACAGATAATAAAAACAAAACAAAATTTTAATGAAATTTTATTATAAAATCATCAAACTTTTAATAAGTATTTTTCTAATAAAAACTTTTCTCTTAAAAGTTGGTCCTCTAACAGAGCACTGATAAACATGAGTAACAAGGTAGAAATTGGAGGGTAAAGAAGCCCAGTTGAACGATACATCATTGTGTACCATCAGCTTCTAGCAATATTATACCCAAGGAGAATGAAACCTTGATGAGCATAATTTTCAAATAATATGATCTGCCTGTGAATGACCCCAGAGACTTGGGTCATTTTCAGCATTCAAGTCTACAATTTTTGGCCCTAATTTCGTGCTTCTGCGACATGTTTTACTGTTGCAACACTAATTCCTTCTATCAGACAACTAGAGGAGGTTGTGGAAACTTCTGAGACATTTCTGTTCAATTTTTTTTTCTTGTATTCTTTGCGATCATCAATATAGTGCTGGTAGATGTATGAG